CATGGCATGGGGTGTAGGTTGCTATTGTCACATGATGGTACATGACATGGGGTGTAGGCTGCTATTGTCACATGATGGTACATGGCATGGGGTGTAGGCTGCTAATGTCACATGATGGTACATGGCATGGGGTGTAGGCTGCTATTGTCACATGATGGTACATGGCATGGGGTGTAGGCTGCTATTGTCACATGATGGTACATGGCATGGGGTGTAGGCTGCTATTGTCACATGATGGTACATGGCATGGGGTGTAGGCTGCTATTGTCACATGATGGTACATGGCATGGGGTGTAGGCTGCTATTGGCACATGATGGTACATGGCATGGGGTGTAGGCTGCTATTGGCACATGATGGTACATGGCATGGGGTGTAGGCTGCTATTGTCACATGATGGTACATGGCATGGGGTGTAGGCTGCTATTGTCACATGATGGTACATGGCATGGGGTGTAGGCTGCTATTGTCACATGATGGTACATGGCATGGGGTGTAGGCTGCTATTGTCACATGATGGTACATGACATGGGGTGTAGGCTGCTATTGTCACATGATGGTACATGGCATGGGGTGTAGGCTGCTATTGTCACATGATGGTACATGGCATGGGGTGTAGGCTGCTATTGGCACATGATGGTACATTGCATGGGGTGTAGGCTGCTATTGTCACATGATGGTACATGGCATGGGGTGTAGGCTGCTATTGTCACATGATGTTACATGGCATGGGGTGTAGGCTGCTATTGTCACATGATGGTACATGGCATGGGGTGTAGGCTGCTATTGTCACATGATGGTACATGGCATGGGGTGTAGGCTGCTATTGTCACATGATGGTACATGGCATGGGGTGTAGGCTGCTATTGTCACATGATGGTACATGACATGGGGTGTAGGCTGCTATTGTCACATGATGGTACATGGCATGGGGTGTAGGCTGCTATTGTCACATGATGGTATATGGCATGGGGTGTAGGCTGCTATTGTCACATGATGGTACATGGCATGGGGTGTAGGCTGCTATTGTCACATGATGGTACATGGCATGGGGTGTAGGCTGCTATTGTCACATGATGGTACATGGCATGGGGTGTAGGTTGCTATTGTCACATGATGGTACATGACATGGGGTGTAGGCTGCTATTGTCACATGATGGTACATGGCATGGGGTGTAGGCTGCTAATGTCACATGATGGTACATGGCATGGGGTGTAGGCTGCTATTGTCACATGATGGTACATGGCATGGGGTGTAGGCTGCTATTGGCACATGATGGTACATGGCATGGGGTGTAGGCTGCTATTGTCACATGATGGTACATGGCATGGGGTGTAGGCTGCTATTGTCACATGATGGTACATGGCATGGGGTGTAGGCTGCTATTGTCACATGATGGTACATGGCATGGGGTGTAGGCTGCTATTGTCGCATGATGGTACATGGCATGGGGTGTAGGCTGCTATTGTCACATGATGGTACATGGCATGGGGTGTAGGCTGCTATTGGCACATGATGGTACATGGCATGGGGTGTAGGCTGCTATTGTCACATGATGGTACATGGCATGGGGTGTAGGCTGCTATTGTCACATGATGGTACATGGCATGGGGTGTAGGCTGCTATTGTCACATGATGGTACATGGCATGGGGTGTAGGCTGCTATTGTCACATGATGGTACATGGCATGGGGTGTAGGTTGCTATTGTCACATGATGGTACATGACATGGGGTGTAGGCTGCTATTGTCACATGATGGTACATGGCATGGGGTGTAGGCTGCTAATGTCACATGATGGTACATGGCATGGGGTGTAGGCTGCTATTGTCACATGATGGTACATGGCATGGGGTGTAGGCTGCTATTGTCACATGATGGTACATGGCATGGGGTGTAGGCTGCTATTGTCACATGATGGTACATGGCATGGGGTGTAGGCTGCTATTGTCACATGATGGTACATGGCATGGGGTATAGGCTGCTATTGGCACATGATGGTACATTGCATGGGGTGTAGGCTGCTATTGTCACATGATGGTACATGGCATGGGGTGTAGGCTGCTATTGTCACATGATGGTACATGGCATGGGGTGTAGGCTGCTATTGTCACATGATGGTACATGGCATGGGGTGTAGGCTGCTATTGTCACATGATGGTACATGGCATGGGGTGTAGGCTGCTATTGGCACATGATGGTACATTGCATGGGGTGTAGGCTGCTATTGTCACATGATGGTACATGGCATGGGGTGTAGGCTGCTATTGTCACATGATGGTACATGGCATGCGGTGTAGGCTGCTATTGTCACATGATGGTACATGGCATGGGGTGTAGGCTGCTATTGTCACATGATGGTACATGGCATGGGGTGTAGGCTGCTATTGTCACATGATGGTACATGGCATGGGGTGTAGGCTGCTATTGTCACATGATGGTACATGACATGGGGTGTAGGCTGCTATTGTCACATGATGGTACATGGCATGGGGTGTAGGCTGCTATTGGCACATGATGGTACATGGCATGGGGTGTAGGCTGCTATTGTCACATGATGGTACATGGCATGGGGTGTAGGCTGCTATTGTCACATGATGGTACATGGCATGGGGTGTAGGCTGCTATTGTCACATGATGGTACATGGCATGGGGTGTAGGCTGCTATTGTCACATGATGGTACATGGCATGGGGTGTAGGCTGCTATTGGCACATGATGGTACATTGCATGGGGTGTAGGCTGCTATTGTCACATGATGGTACATGGCATGGGGTGTAGGCTGCTAATGTCACATGATGGTACATGGCATGGGGTGTAGGCTGCTATTGTCACATGATGGTACATGGCATGGGGTGTAGGCTGCTATTGTCACATGATGGTACATGGCATGGGGTGTAGGCTGCTATTGTTACATGATGGTACATGGCATGGGGTGTAGGCTGCTATTGTCCCACGTCGCAACAGCAAGCCGGGTGTGCACCGACTGCCCACGCATGTGTGTACCACTGACCCGGCTAGCCCCCGTTTCCTTGGCACAGACAGTGGGCGTTGGGCAGCCTGCTCCACGCAGCCACGGCCGTCGGCGAGCCATCACCCTCCGCTCACTTCAATGGCCATCCACGAGCCGCGCCCCTTCTCCTTCCATCCCTTTCATGACCGTTCCTCCCCCTCTTCCGTCCCATCCCCCACCCTCGCCCCCCCTCCCATGACCCTCCCTTCCAGACATTCGGGCGCTGGGCTGCGTGCTCCACGCAGCCATGGCCGCCAGCGAGTCATGCCTCCCCGCCACGTCTACTGAGGCGCCGCAAGAGCCGTCAACGAGCCATCATCAACCCCCACCCACGTCCATCCACGAGCTCGTCTCCTTCGTGCTGTCCGGCTGCCATGACTCCTTGCCCCAATGGTATGTGCGGTGGTCTGCTGTGCAGTGCTGTGCTGTGCGGTGCTCTGCTTTCCTGTGCTATGCGGCGCTGTGCTGTGCGGTGCTCTCTGGCGTTTGTTCCCCGTGACCCTGACTTCTCAGATGTCTCACACACTGGTCAAAGTTTGTGAGATGTCAGAGACCCCATGTATGATTCACCTCTCTGTCGCCGCCTCTGAAGCCATCCCAGTGAAAGCATTGTGCTCGACTGTCGTTTGCTCACCAGTTCCCTGCACACTTTCTAATCGACTTCTGAGCATTGTCAAAAGTGACACAAGCATGAAAGGTCCTTGGGTCACCAAGTCCCTACACACCTTCATATGCTGATTGAGTTCTGAGGACGTTTCAACCCGCATGCTAACACTTCCTCCCGTGTCCAACCTCACCCTCCCGTGTCCAACCTCACCCTCCCGTGTCCAACCTCACCCTCCCGTGTCCAACCTCACCCTCCCGTGTCCAACCTCACCCTCCCGTGTCCAACCTCACCCTCTCTTCTTCCACACTCCTTCTCTCCCCCCCCCCCAACTTCGTCAGCCTGCTCTTCCACCCATCACTTGCCTATCCCACACCCACTTCCCCACTCTCTCCCACCTATCCACTATCTCCCACTCCTTCTGTCCCACGCTCCCACCCACTCTTCCCTTCTCGCCCTGCCCTTGTCTCTTTTGTCCTCTACCCGCTGGCAGTTACTCTCTTGAACTCCGTGCACTTGTCAGACGCATGCTTTCTCAGGTGAACTCAACAATCCCAGGTGAATTCAACAAGCCCAGGTGAATGTAAACCTCTCAGGTGAGGTCAATTCTGTCGGAAGTGCCCACTAATGACCCCTTGTCAACGTGTGTGTTGACTTGTGTGGATTCCTGGGTGCAGGTTCGCTTGCATACGTGTGCTTGCATATGCATATGCATGTGAATGTGCATGTGCATGTGAATGTGCATGTGCATGTGCATGTGAATGTGCATGTGCATGTGCATGTGCATGTGTATGTGCATGTGAATGTGCGGGTTCATGCGCATGTGTAATATTAGCATGTGCGTTCGAGTGTTCATATATGAATGCGTACATGCGTCTGCATGAGCATGTGCACATATGCGTGCGTGTGCATGTGTGGGTGCATGCGCACGGTTCAGGTGCATATCTGCATGCCTAAACCGCCCATGGTTGGTCCCACATGGTTGACGGAAGCACAACGTAGTGACTCGGATAAAACCCGTCGTATCCTATAAGGAACCCCTTCCAATGCATCTACCTTATCTGCCAATATCTACTTCCCCATACATCATTCTCTCACCATACCCTCGTTTCTTCCAGTCCCGTCCTTTTCCTCTCACACACTCTCAAGTCCCCCTCTGGCCGCCCCACACATCCCCTTCTCCCCTCTCCTTCATCATGATGCCTCCTCCTTGCCGTCTTAATAACATTCAAGTTGATGGACATCAGACCTTCGCAGCCCACCTGTTTACTAATAACAGCACCCCCCTCTGGCCGCCCCACACATCCCCTTCTCCCCTCTCCTTCATCATGATGCCTCCTCCTTGCCGTGTTCGTTTTTGAGAATTCTCAAAAGTGATTTCATCATAATGCCTCCTCTCTGCCGTGTTCGTTTCCCATTCTTCTCCCTCTGCCTCTGTCCCTCAACGCGTATCCCCCGTTCTCCCATGCAGGCCCCTTCTCACCGACCCACAGCAGCAGACGTCCTCGCCTCGCCTCTCCTCCACCAACGCGCCTCTGCCTTCCTGCACGCCTGCCTGCACGCCAGTGAACATGCCCTTGAGAGTGCCCCTCTGAACGACTTAGGGAATGCCGCCACTGTTGGTGGTGCCGCTGCTGTGGCAAGGGCAGTGGCGATGCAGCGGGCAGTAAGAGAGCAGATGGGGCGACTGGGGATTGTGACAGCCCCATGTGCTAGCATCAACTCGCGTATGGCTTGCAGTGGCAGCAGCAGCAGCAGCAGCAGTGGCGGCAGCGATCCTGCTGCTGCTGACGATGATTTGCAAGCTGGTGAGCGGACAGGGGGACTGGCTGCTGTGCAAGATGCTGGTTCTGAGGGAGGCACATCCTGTGCAGGTATACCTGGGTCAGGGCTATCTGCCACACGAGCATGTAAGGCATGTGACATGCCATCGTTGGGTATGGCTGGTGGGGAGGAGGAAGAGGAAGAGGAAGAGGAAGGGGTGGAGGAGGAAGAAGGGGGTGGGGAGGAGTGTGTGATGGTTGAGGAGGAAGGGGCAGGGAGAGCGGAGGAAGAAGAGGAGGTAATACAGGAGGCTCAAGGGATAGACCATGTGGAAGGGGAGGAGGAGGAGGAGGAGGAGGAGGAGGAGGAGGAGGAGGAGGAGGAGGAGGAGGAGGAGGAGGAGGAGGAGGAACAACGCGAGTGGGAGGATGAGGACGAGTGGGGGTGGTGGGGGTTGGGAAAAGAGGACGAGCAAGAGGGAGAGGAGACGGATGAGGCGGAGTGGAGGCGAATGGAGGAGGAGGATGAGGGTCGGCGGGAGTGGGAGCGAGAGCAGGAGTTGAGAGAGGAGTTTGTGCGAGAGAAGGAGGAGGAAGAGAATGAATGGGGGGAGGAGAGACGGAATGAGGAGCATGTAAAAGATGGTGGGTGGGAGGAGAGAGAGAATGGGTGGGATGAGAGGGAGGATAAATGGGGAGGGGAAGAAGAGCGAGAAGGGCATGGGACAGGACAAGTTACCTGTTGGAGTATGACGAGTCACCTGTTGGATCCAGGTCGAAACTTTATACGTATGCGAGAAGAGCATGGGACAGGTGGTGGTTGGGAGAAGGGAGAGGTTGGGTGGAGAGAAGGAGAGAATGAGGAGGTGGAACGAGATAATAAGTGGGAGGAGGGAGAGATTAGGTGGGGAGAGGGAGAGGATGGGCGGGAAGGGGAAGAGAGGCGAGAAGAGCACAAGACAGGTGGTGGATGGGAGGAGAATGGGTGGGAAGAAGGAGAGGAGGAGGAGGCGGAACGAGATGATGGATGGGAGGAAGGAGAGGTTAGGTGGGGAGAGGGAGAGGATGGGTGGGAAGGGGAAGAAGAGCGGGAAGAGCATGGGACAGATGGTTGGGAGCAGGGAGAGGATGGGTGGAGAGGAGTTAACGAGAGGATGGAACGAGATGATGAATGGGAGGAAGGAGAGATTAGGTTGAGAGATGGAGAGGATGGGCGGGAAGGTGGAGGAGAGCGGGAGGAGTGCGATAGAGGTGATGGATGGGAGGACGGAAGGACTGGGTGGGAAGAGGAGGGATATGAGCCAAAGGAGCAGCCGCAGCAAAAGCAGCTTTGGCTGCAGCAGCAGCAGCGGTGGGGAGAGAGAGAGCAGAAGGAACAGCACGAAGCAGTGAGAGAGCTGCTGACAAAGAGGCAGCAGAAGGAGCAGCAGAAGCAGCAGCAGCAGCAGCAGCAGCAGCAGCAGCAGCAGCAGCAGCAGCAGCAGCAGCAGCAGCAGCAGAAGCGTGATTCAGAATGGCGGAAGCGGTTCGGGAACCGTGGCACGGATGTCCCCAGCACAGGGGGGCGCAGCAGGGGCAGGAGCAACTATAATGAGGAGGTGGTGCGGCATCGGTGGGCGCAGCATGGTCACGGCAGTGATATGTTAAGCTGTAGCAATCGTAGAAGCAGCAGCAGCAGCAGCAGCAGCAGGGTGGGAGGGTACGTGCATGGTCATCTGAGTGGGCACAAAGCAACACGGTGCAGCACTGGCAGCAGTTGCACCAGTACCTGTAGCAGCTGTAGCACTGACACGCTACGATGCAACACTGTGAGTAGCTGTAGCAGCTGTAGCAGCCGTAGCCGTAGCTGCCTTGGCTACCGCAGCAAGCACTCTACCGGCTGTAGCAGCGGCAGCAGCAGGTTACGATACAGTCTAGGCAGCAGCTGCTGTGACACGTCAGAGCATGGCAGTGACACGTCATCACCATCATCGTCACTAAATGTGTTGCCTCCCATCCCTTGTCCGCTGGACCCTGCATTTATTGAGGGCCACCTGCACAAGGTTAAGGCACGGCTGGAACGGTTTGGCGTGCCTCTCAGAGACAAGCCTGTGGGAGCTGCTGCTTGCATGAAGGAGAACCTGGAGAGGATTCAGGAGCTGCTGCTGCACGTGCTGGGAGTGAAGGAGGTGCCGCAGGTCGCAAAGAGGCAGGAGCTGCTGCTGCACGTGCCGGGAGTGAAGGATGTGCCGCAGGTCGCAAAGAGGCAGGAGCTGCTGCTGCACGTGCCGGGAGTGAAGGAGGTGCCGCAGGTCGCAAAGAGGCAGGAGCTGCTGCTGCACGTGCCGGGAGTGAAGGAGGTGCTGCGGCTGACATCTGAGTCGACTCAAAAGTCACGAATGCTGGAATGGTGTGACGTGCCTCTCAGCGACCAGCCTGTGCCAGCTGCTGCTTGCATGCAGGCGAACCTGGCGAGGATTCAGGAGCTGCTGCAGGTGGGGGGGCCGAAGGAGGGGAAGAGGCCGGAGGTGGTGCAGGTGCAAGGGGGAAAAGAGCCGTCAAAAATGGCGACGAGGCAGGAGGTGGGGAAGGAGGGCGAGATGTGGGATATGCACTCCGAGACAGGTCATACCACACCTGATAAGGCTGTGCCGGGTTATGCTGCAGCTGGTGAGGTGGCAGCAGGTGACGTCATGTCTGAGAGGGTTCGGAAGCTTCTGCAGAAGCTGCGGGAACTGAAGGAGATGGCTGGCGTGCCAAGGAAGCAGGTGGCACACACGATGCAATCAGTGCAGTCAATGCAGTCAATGCAGTCAACGCAGTCAACGCAGTCAATGCAGTCAATGATGTCAACGCAGTCCACGCAGTCAATGCAGTCAAGGATGTCAATGCAGTCAACGCAGACAACACAGTCAACCCAGTCAACGGAAGTGACACCAAAGGTGCAGAAGCTGCGGGCAGTGGGGACACCGGAGGCACTGCGGGCCCTGCTCCGGCTGCGTAAGCTGAAGGAGGGAGCGAAGCAAGGTGGAAAGCCGGACGGAAGTTTCCAGGCGCAGGAGTCACAGGAGTTGCAGAAAGTGCGGGGGGCAGTGAGGACACCGGAGGCACTGCAGGCCCTGCTCCGGCTGCACAAGCTGAAGGAGGGAGCAGCGGAGTGCAGGAAGGCTGGTAGGAGCTCCCCCTCACAAGAGGCTGCTGGCTGCTGCGCTGCTTGTTCACTGGCCAAGGAGCCCGGGCAGGCGCAGGGCAGGCATGGGGAGGACTGTGGGGAGGACTGTGGAGTGGGGTATGGAGATGACTGCGCAGTGGGGGCCGAACATTCCTATGGAGATGCGCCTGGGGCGGGCTGGAGTGATGGCTGCGGAGTGGGGTGTGGAGGTGATGGTTTGGGCCAGACGTGCGGTTGGAGTGATGGCTTGGATGGCATGGGGAGTTGGCACGGAGGGGTGGGGGAAGACGTGGGTCTGACTGAAGGGGAGGAGTGTTTGGAAGGGGAGTGGTATGTAGAAGGAGAGGGGTATGGTGAAGGAGAGGGGTATGGTGAAGGAGAGGGGTATGGTGAAGGAGAGGGGTATGGTGAAGGAGAGGGGTATGGTGAAGGAGAGGGGTATGGTGAAGGACAGGGGTATGGTGAAGGACAGGGGTATGGTGAAGGAGAGGGGTATGGTGAAGGAGAGGGGTATGGTGAAGGAGAGGGGTATGGTGAAGGAGAGGGGTATGGTGAAGGACAGGGGTATGGTGAAGGACAGGGGTATGGTGAAGGACAGGGGTATGGTGAAGGAGAGGGGTATGGTGAAGGACAGGGGTATGCAGAAGAAAATGATGAGGAGATTTCAGAAGGAGAGGGATGCATGGAGGTCAAGGGGTGTTCAGACGGGGAGACGAAGTGGGTGGGAGTTTGGCTCAGGACCGATAGAGGCTGGATCGAAAGAAAAATGTTGTCAGAGGAAGAGGAGTATACAGACGACGAGGTGACTTCTCAGTCGACTCAAAAGCCACCTCGAAACATGTCGTCAGAGGAAGAGGAGTATAAAGACGACGAGGGGTTTAGTGATGGAGATAGTTTTGAGAAAGAAAAAGGAGAGGGAAATGCTGATGACAAGTGTGAGGAATCGGAGGCGGGTGCAGAAGCAGAGCGGTTCATTCATGGCGGTGCATTGTGCGGACGGGGCGAGGTGGGAAGCGGGGCGCATGAGGCAAGAGGAGCGGCGTTGGGAGGCATGCTGGAGCGGGTGGGCGCGCTCCTCAGGAGAGCCTGTGGGGGTGCCTGTGAGGGTGCCTGTGAGGGTGCCTGTGGGGGTGCCTGTGGGGGTGCCTGTGGGGGTGCCTGTGGGGGTGCCTGTGGGGGTGCCTGTGGGGGTGCCTGTGGGGGTGCCTGTGGGGGTGCCTGTGGGGGTGCCTGTGGGGGTGCCTGTGGGGGTGCCTGTGGGGGTGCCTGTGGGGGTGCCTGTGGGGGTGCCTGTGGGGGTGCCTGTGGGGGTGCCTGTGGGGGTGCCTGTGGGGGTGCCTGTGGGCCGAGCCATTGCGTGCTCTCCCAGGGTGGCTTTAAAGATTCTCACAAGTACCGTGCTGCATGTGAGCAGGGTCACTGCGTGGTGGGCACGCAGACTCACGCCATGCGCCACTCACACCCCTGCCGCCCTGCACCTGAAGCAGCCAAAGCGGTAGGAGCAGCAGGGGCGGCAGGGGTGGCAGGGGCAGCAGGGGCGGCAGGGGGGGCAGGTGTGGCAGGGGGGGCAGGGGTGGCAGGGGCGGCAGGGGTGGCAGGGGCAGCAGGGGTGGCAGGGGCGGCAGGGGGGGCAGGGGTGGCAGGGGTGGCAGGGGTGGCAGGGGCGGCAGGAGCAACGTGCATCAAGACAGGCCTTCCAGCAAACTCTTCAGTTCACCGCATCACTCTTCCTCGAGACTGTTTGCTCCACAGGAGAAGCTGCAGGGCCGCTGACGTGGCCTGTTCACGTGGCGTGGCAGCTGTCAGTCCATATGGACACGTGGCATGTTCCCTGGCCTCTTGGAGAAGGGACAGCTGGCAATGCAGCTGCTATGGGAGCAGCACTAGTCATGCCCACAAAAACGGATGCATCACCAGCAGATGCTATGTCAGGAGCGGATGCCATGTCAGCAACGGCTGCCACGTCAGCAGCAGATGCCTGTTTCAAGCAAATGGGGTGGACGGTGGTAGGCCAACTCGTCACTTTGACCTTGACTGTAACAGCTCGTGTGACTGTGTAGGGGGCAGCAGCTGTGGTGGCAGCTACCATCTCCTCAACTGTGACTGTAATGAATGCTACAGATGTGACAAAAACGCGTACGAGAGTGGCTGTTGCAGGTCACACCACCACTGTGAAACCATCCATCACTGTGTGCGCGGGCGTGGCTGTCACTCTGCATCCTGTGCTGATAGCACCTGTGGGTCTGGTGGCTCTGACAAGGGCGACCGGCATTCACGGGCCAGCCCGTGGCGGCTTCCCTCTGATGCTTTTGGCTCTTCTGGTGGGGAGGTGGCTTTTGAGTCAACTCAAAAGCACTCTGCATCCTGTGCTGATAACACGTGTGGTTCTGCTGGCACTGAGGACGGCGACAGGCATTCACGGGCCAGCCCGTGGCGGCTTCCCTCTGATGCTTCTGGCTCTGCTGGTGGGGAGGTGGCATGGCAGCAGCAGCTTCAGCAGGAGCAGCAGCGACAGCGGCGGCAGTGGGAACGGCGGCGGGAGCAGCAGCAACAGTGGGGGCAGCACGAGCCGCAGTGGGGGCAGAGACAGGAGCAGAAACAGCAGCATCAGCAGCAGTGGGGCCAGCAACGAGAGAAGCAGCAGCGGTGGGGGCAGCAGCAGGAGCAGGAAAGGAGTCATCTGTCCCTGGTGCACTGTAAGGAGGAGGAGGAGGAGGGCGCTTTTGAGTCGACTCAAAAGGAGGAGGAGGAGGGCGCTTTTGAGTCGACTTGTAAGGAGGAGGAGGGCGCTTTTGAGTCGACTTGTAAGGAGGAGGAGGGCGCTTTTGAGTCGACTTGTAAGGAGGAGGAGGGCGCTTTTGAGTCGACTTGTAAGGAGGAGGAGGGCGCTTTTGAGTCGACTTGTAAGGAGGAGGAGGGCGTGATAGGGGCTCATATTCACACCTGCATGCAGGAACACGCGAGAGGCGGACGACAGACGCAGGAATGGGCGGGGGGCGAGAGGTGCGGCGCAAACCACCTGCTTCCCACACATTTGACTGCAGAGCGTGCAGAGCATGCAGAGCGTACAGAGTGGGCAGAACGGGCAGAGCGTGCAGAGCGTGGCAGGAGGAGGTGGAGTACTGGGGGGCAGACTCGTTATGATGACATTCACCGGCGCCCACTGCTGGGTGGGACGGACTACAGTAGTGAAACCGGGGAGCTCAATAGCGAGGATGAGGAGTCGGACTACGAGGTGGTGCGCCAGGTGGCGATGTATGAGTGGCTGCGTGCATCTTCACAGCAAGCAGCAACTCTCGAAGCAGCATGTGTCCCCACTCCTCCCAGCAACCCCTTCCCCCACCAGCAGCATGCCAGCAGCAGCAGCAGCAGCAGCAGCAGCAGCAGCTGCAGCTGTCTGTCTGACAGCCAGGCTGGCACGTGGATGGGACAAAGCAGCAGTCATGTGAGTGTGGGGGCTAGAGGGGATGGCTGTGCTAAGGTGTGGCTGAGAAGCGGCAGTGGGACCTTCCCGATGAGCCAGGCTGTAGTGAGAGGTACTCATGCTGGCATGCACAAGGGTCGTCGACCGAGCTCAGAGCCGGGTCGAAGCAAGGGTTTCAGGGGGCACAAGGCACTGCCTGGTTCCACCAGGTTCATGTGTGAAGCAGAAGCTAATCGGCAGGGCATGGCTGCTGCGGTTGCACTGGCAACACCTGTCGTTGCACCGGCAGCACCAGCAGGAGCAGGGGTAATGGCCGTAGCAGAAAGTGCGCTCGAAGGGACAAAGAAGGCAATTGCAACGGAAGGGGCAACAGCCCGTCTCGTCAGTCCATTGCAGGAGAGGAATGCGGTGACTACAGAGCCACCCTCGTTACAGAGTTCCCCAGTAAGAGGTTCAGATGGGGATGTGGCTGGAACAGGAGGCTGCTTGGTGCATGAGTGGTATGAAGCAGTGAAGAGTGGTGATGAGAGTGACCAGTCATTGGGAATGGATCTGCCGTACTGCCTTGACTCGAAGGGGAGAAACTTGCTGTCTTCCCCTATAAACTCGCTCTTTGTTAGCCAGCATACACATGCTCGAATGCAACGTCGCTTGCATCGAAAGAGAATACAAGATCTTCGCTAAAATTAGTGGTCGATACATGATTTGAAAAAAAAAAGTGATTTTAGAGGGGGGACATGTTTTTGAGTTCGATTCCTAGTCATGTAATTTATTGTGGCCTATATACCGACTTGCACTGTAGAAGATATTGTGGTTATTTTTTTCACCCTTGGTTTTCTGAGGTAGGATTATCACATGTCATCAACACAATTTTCATATGTTCATCACATGTGATTGAAGTGGCCAGTGTATTGAGTTTCCAGTCGGCAACACTGGCCAGGTGGCAGCACGACAAGCTCCAAAAATTTGAGTCAATCTCTAGAACAAACCCGCCCAAAACCCAGGCGGACATTACGCCAGCACCACACCCCCCATCAGCCACCCTTGGGGACATCGAACTGGTTACCACGTTCGCCAATAATCGCCTGGTACCTTGATCCTATCCGTTGCATGGCATCTCGTCTTCTCCTCCCTCTCTGCCTTCGAATGGTGGAACACATCACTTCCTCACCCCCCTTGGTTTCCTTCCTTTCTGGTCAGAAGCCTGATCGAGCGGGGGATCAGAGGTAGTCTGGCCGCCATTGTCGCTAACTTCACGGCATCTCTTGCGAGTGGAACCCTAATCCAGCAGAGCCTGGATCAAATATCTTTGTCCTCTCGCTCTCTCTAATCTGACTGCATAGTATACGAAACTTCTTAACCTGTCCATCACCCTTGTCAGAAGACAATGGCGACAGCAGCTAGCACCGTCGCTGCTAGTTATGCGAGTATCAAGTACGTCCTTAGTTTAACGATCTCGTGGTGTGGTGCGTTCGACCTTCGTTCTGTCTTGTTCAACTGTTCGCTTTTAGGTAGAGTCGCAAACAATCTAAGACTTTTTTTTTTTCTTCTTTTTTTCCCTTCATCGTATAAGTGTACTATTCAGCATAATCGCCGACATTCTATCAACGGGCACTTGACATAGTCGAGTTTCTCAGCTTCATCTCATACTTCCGCCTTGCATTTCACTCCGCATTCCACTCCCGATCAGATCGCTCGTCGCAACACAATCCCCGGCGACCACACCCGACGCTCACTCTCAACCAGCAGCTCTCCACGCTCCTCCGCCGCATCTCACCGCCTCACACTCCTCCTCCAGACGGCGACCCATCCAGATCGTCGCTCTCAGCAGCAGCAGCAGCCATAACCGGAGCCGATCAGTCCCCTTCGGAGACTCCGGATGGCTTAGGAAAGCCGCTTTAACCGGCGCGGGTCTAGCAGCCGGCAGCGGCATTGGCTGCGTCTTAATGCGTCAAGATGGTCTTGATATTCTTAACAGTCTTATAGGAGGGGGAGGAGGTGGGGGGCGAGACGGTAGCGGCGGCGGGGGAGGCGGAGGAGGGGGTGGCGGAGGGGGGAAGGGGCGAGGCGGGGGAAAGCGGAACTGGTGGGAGTGGGACGCGGCTGTAGCGGCGGAGGATGACGAGGAATCGGAATCGGAGGACGAGGAGAGCGACGACGAGGAGGAGTCGGATGAGGAGGAGGAGGACGAGGAGGAGGAGGAGGAAGAGGAGGAGGGCGATGCGAAGGCGAAGGAGGTGGCGGGGAAGAAGGAAGCAGAGGAGAAGGCGAAGAAGGAGAAGGAGAAGAAAGCGGCGGCTGCGGCGGTTAAAGCGGAGGAGTTCGACCCTCACGGCATGCGGGTGAGACTGGGTTCAGCCCTTATAGCATGCTTGTGAGGTTGAGTTCAGCCTTTATAACATGCGGGTGAGATTGGGTTCAACCCTTATCATTAGCGGAATAAATTGAGTCGGCACACAGCATGCGTGTGACGATCGACTGGAACGCGCCTCGTCTTAGGTCAGCGGAATAAGTTGCGCGAGGAGGTGACACCTTTAAAAAATCCTGAGGGCAATCGAAAACACTCTGGCCTGCGAACACACCCCAGTGCCGTCCCCACTCCGCATTGCGATTATTTACTCGACTCACTAGCCATGTCGCCTCAATCATAGCACAATGCCCGCCCCTCACTCTGCACTCCCCTCTTTCCTCGTTCCACTCTCCACGCTCCATTCCCCGCGCCCCACACCGCATACCAAAGTCCCCGACCCCCGCATTGCGCGTGCGTGCAGCGGAGCCAGCGGACATGCGGGGGTTGAGAACTCCGCGTTCTCCCCGCATCCCCAGGCTGCGCGTGCGTGTCAGCGCGCACGCGGAACGCAGAGACGAGCTGAGCACGACGAAGCCCTTCTTGCCTCAATATCTTCCTTCCTCCCTCCCTACTTCTCGCCCTCCTCCCTTCCGCGCTCCCCCCCCACCTCCCCCCCACGCTGGCACGCGCGTGGCGGTAGACAAGGCAGCAAAATAAAGCCCTCTGTTGCCTCATATTTTTGCCCCTCCCCCTCCCCCTCCCCCTCCCCCTCTCCCTTCCCCCCCACACCAGGCGGGCACGCGCGTGGCGGTGGACAAGCTGAGCACGACGAAGCGGTACCGCGTGGCGGACGTTGACCTGGTTGACCAGCGCAGCGACCGCGTCATTCCCAAGGCGGACGGGTTCTACGAGATGGTGTCGGTGGGCAAGGGCACCGTGTGCACGCGCGCGCAGCTCGAGGCCGAGGTGGCCAACATGGCGTCGAGTGGAATGTTCCAGATGGTGGAGGCCGACACTGTTGCCAATCCGGACGGGTCCATAAAGGTGCGTGTAGTGAAGCAGGAGTTACAACGAGTCGAGTCATGCTTAACAACGAAGATGAGGTGGGGTGGGTTTTAGAGGCGGAGGTGGCGAAAATGGCGTCCAGCGGCATGTTCCAAATGGTGGAGGCCGATACCGTTGCCAACCCGGACGGATCGATAAAGGTACTTATGGCAAAGCCGGGTTCGCTTATAACGGGGATGGGATGAGGTGGGGTGGAGGTCGAGAGGCAGAGGTGGCGATCATGGCGTCGAGTGGCATGTTCCATATGGTGGAGGCCGATACCGTCGCCAATCTGGATGGATCCATCAAGGTGCGTGCAACGAAGGAGGACTTGCTTAAAACGGGGATGAGATGAGGTGTGTTGGTTGGAGCGTGAGCGGCGGAGGTGGGCCACATGGCATCCAGCGTCGTGTTCCAGGTGGTGGAGCACTCACAGCAGCCGCCCTGCCGTGACTGCGGTACCGTAACCTACCCCTGCCTGCCCTCCTTCGCCCCTTCCGCCACCTTAAACCCACCCCGTTCGCCCCATCCCCCACTTCCCGTTCCCCACCGCAACCCTGCACTCCCCCTTCCTCCCGCTCCCCCGCAATCCCTGTGTGTCCCACAGCTGGAGGTGAAGGTTCTAGAAGCGCAGTGGCAGGCGGAGAAGACGGTGCGGTGTGTGAACATGGGGCTCGTGCAGCCCAACGCCGCATGTGCGGAATGGCTGTTGCTCACCCCTGCCTTTCCCTGCCCCTGCTGCCGCTTCCCCACGCCCTGTTCCCCCGTCCCCGCCCCCCGTTTCCCCAACCCAACAACCACTCATTCCATATGCGGGTTGCAGCTGGAGGTGAAGGTGCTGGAGGCGCAGTGGCAAGCGGCCAAGACGGTGCGCTGCGTGAACATGGGGCTCGTGCAGCCGGACGCCTCAGGGCAGGAGGCGTCAGAGGACGCGGCGAAGCAGGAGGCTGCGTATGCGGAGCGGCTGAGGCAGGCGCCCTTGCCACCGTAACTGATCCCTGACTGCCTTCCCTCGCCCCTTCCCACCTCCCCTTGCCCCGGTTCCCACATCCCCCACTCCCCGTTCCACCCCCCCCCCCCCCCCCCCCCCCCCCCCCCGCTCTTCTGCACTCCGCAGCTGGAGGTGAAGGTTCTTGAAGCGCAGTGGCAGGCGGCGAAGACGGTGCGGTGTGTGAACATGGGGCTCGTGCAGCCGGACGCCTCAGGGCAGGAGGCGTCGGAGGACGCGGCGAAGCAGGAGGCTGCGTACGCGGAGCGGCTGAGGCAGGCGCGGCAGTGCCTGCTGCCGCGCAAGGTGGAGAACGAGCTGAGCGCCATGGTGCAGCGCGAGGGCCGCCTCACTGCCCGCATGCTGCAGAAGATCCGGGATCGTATCCTCAAGTGGTACCACGACAAGGGCTACGCCTGTGCCAATGTGAGTGCGGCTTGTGTGTGGGAATGTGCGTGATAGGTGGGTGGGTGGGTTGGTGGATGGTCAGTATGTGGGTGAGTGACATTGCAGCCTGCTGCAGAAAATCAGAGATTGCATTCTCAAGTAATACCCTCTCCCCTTACACACGCATGCTTACAGGTGATCAACTTCGGCAATCTGAACACGCCTGACATCGTGTGCGAGGTGGTGGAGGGCGATGTGACGGGCGTGGAGGTGCAGTTTCTCGACAAGATGGGGCAGCGCTGCGAAGGCATCACTGACGAGCGCGTTGTGATGCGAGAACTGCCCATTGAGGTGAGGGGGGATAGAGGAGAGAGGGGGAGAGGGGAGAGGGGGGGAGACGACAAGTGGGGTGGGGATAGAGGGAAGTGCTTGTTTGTGTTTCCTGGACAACGCTGCACGTGCGAAGGCATCACTGATGAGCGCGTTGTGATGCGAGAGCTTCCCGTGATGGGGAAGAGAGGGAGGAGTGGGTGGGGAGAATGGGGAAGGTGGGGGAAGAAGGTTCGAGGAGGAGATTGAAGGGTGAAGGAAGAGAGCGGGGAGGAAGAGTGAGGGGGGGAGGTTTCAACATCAACGTTGAACCCACCTTCCGCACTCCCCCCTTCCCCGCTTTTCGTCTCACAAAGATTCAGCCAAGCAACGTAATCATATTCACCAACCACTCTTCCCCCTTCCCCCCTGCCCGCGCAGATCAAGCCGGGCAACGTGTTCAACATCGAGGCGGGGCGCAAGGCGCTGCAGAGCATCTCGTCGCTGCAGCTGTTCGCCAACATGGAGGTCAACCCGCGCCCCGATGACCAGCTGGAGGGCGGCATCGTGATGGAGGTGAAGGTCCGCGAGCAGGAGCCCACGTCCGCTGAGGTGCAGACGGAGTGGAGCATCCAGCCTGGGGATACCGGCAAACCCACGGTAAGCTGGCAGGGTGTTGGGTAGGGTGCATGGTGAAGTTTGGGGTGTGCAGTGCGGTGTAGTTGTTGGGAGGTCAACCCGCGCCCCGACGACCAGCTGGAGGGCGGCATCGTGATGGAGGTGAAGGTCCGCGAGCAGGAGCCCACTTCTGCGGAAGTGCAGACCAAGTGAAGCATTCAGTCTGGGGACACTGGCAAGCCCACGGTAAGCTGGCAGGATGAGGGGTACGGACCGTACGGTGTTGAGTAGGGTGTGGGGTAGTGTGTGGAGTTTGCAGTGCGGGGTAGTTGTCGGGACGGGAGGTCAACCGACGCCCCGAGGACCAGCTGGAGGGTGGAATTGTGATGGAGGCGAAGGTGGGGGGCAGATGGAGTGAGCGTTCAGCCTTGCAACGCCTGAAGGCATTGTCACTTGTCTCCCTTCCCGTGCTCCTCATGGGAATCCTCTCACATGCACCGCTGTCACTCCCATCTCCACCCACCCGCTCCCCCGGTCCCAATGCCAGGTGTCCATCCTGCCAGGTGGCAGCGTGTCATTCGAGCATCGCAACATCAACGGCCTCAATCGCTCCGTCACCGGCTCTGTCAGCGCCGGCAACCTGCTCTCGCCGCAGGTACTGCATTTGTTATGTGCGAGGGGTCACAGCAGATGATTTACTAGTTATTTGCGTTCAAAATATATTTCGTATACATGTAATGTGAGATGTACATCTGCATATGCATGTAGAATCATGGTTGTGGTAGTGGCGAGGCAGGCACTCCTCTGGCCAAACTGCCTCTCCATTCTGAGAGCGTTATTGCTGTAGCTTCATGGTGTATTTTGAGGCGCCTCGTGTTATAGTAGAAAGGACGACCATAATTCCCTCTCTCACCCGACCTAACTCCCGCCTCCTTTATCCCCCCCAACCTCCTCGCCACAGGACGATCTGGTGTTCAAGCTGGAGTATGTGCATCCCTACATCGACGGTGTGGATGACACGAGCCCTTAGTGAGGACAACCATAACCCCTCTCCCACCCAATCCCCACTACCCCGTTTAACCCCCTCGCCACAGGACGATCTGGTGTTCAAGCTGGAGTACGTGCATCCGTACATCGACGGGGTGGACGACACGAGCCGCAACAGAGTGGGGCGAGTGACGTGCTTCAACCACCGCAAGGTGTCGGCCGTCTTCACGGGCGGGCCGTCTCTTGACGAGGTGCCGGCCATTTGGGTGGACCGTGCCGGCATCAAGGCCACTGTTAGTGAGGTGAGATGCTGGGGGAGGAGGGATGGGTAGCAAAACGTGGGGGACAGGATGGAAAGCAGTGAGAAAATGGTTTAAGAATGGTGAAAACCGGTGCGAAGGGGTGACAACGAGGCTGGGAAGGGTGGCGTGCTTCAACCACCGCAAGGTGTCGGCTGTGTTCACGGGCGGGCCGTCGCTGGACGAGGTGCTGGCCATCTGGGTGGACTGTGCCGGCATGAAGGCCACTGTCAGTGAGGTGAGGTCGAGGGGGAGCAGGGGCGATGTGAGACAGGACTAGAAGCTGTGAAAACAGGGGCTAAGAATAATAAAAACCGGTGCACAGAGGTGAAGTTGAGGTGGGGATGCAGGAGTGACGTGCTTCAACCACCGCAAGGTGTCAGCTGTCTTCACGGGCGGGCCGTCGCTGGATGAGGTGCTGGCCATCTGGGTGGACCGTGCCGGCATCAAGGCCACTGTCAGTGAGGTGAGATGCTGGGGGGGATAGGGTAGGGATGGGTAGCAACTCTGCTTATCCTTGAGCATCGCCGACCCCTCTGCCTCTCAACTTCCCGCCATCCCCATCGTTCCTCCCCCTCTCTCTCTCTCTCTCTCTGTCCCTTTCCCTCGCTCCCATCCCCGTCCACTCACAGAACTTCACCCGTCAGAGCCGCATCACCTATGGCGCAGTGATAGAGGAGGTGACAACGCGCGATGAGAACACGAGCATCTGCACACACGGCTTCAAGATGCTGCCCTCCGGCCTGCCCACGCCCGACGGCCCGCCCACCACGCTCAGTGGCACCGGTGTTGACCGCGTGGCATTCCTTCAGGCAAACGTGACGCGTGATAACACCAACTTTGTCAACGGCACGCCTGTTGGCGACCGTACCATTTTCCAGGTGAGAAGGCCAGGAAACAGGCACAGGTCATGAGGTGCTGCCCCCGATGGCCCGCCCACCACACTCAGCGACGCTGGTGTGGATCGCGTGGCGTTCCTGCAGGCCGGTGTCAAGTGCAACAACACCACGTTTGTCGTCAATGGCACGCCTGTTGTTGTCAATGTCAATGTCTGGGCATCGGGTCAGCCTTCCCATTCTTCAACCGCCATCAGCTGACGCACACGCGCTTCATGCAGCTCAGCGAGGAGGACGTGGACCGAGTGGAGCCCCTTGACCGCCTTGACTTCCTTGACCCCTCCTTATCTGCAGCTGCTGGTGCCCGTTCGATGTGTTTCAACTCCCGTTTCCCAACCCCCCTCTCCCCTTTCCGGCTCCTGTTGGCGCCACAGGTGGACCAGGGTCTGGGCATCGGGTCAGCCTTCCCATTCTTCAACCGACATCAGCTCACGCACACGTGGTTCATGCAGCTCAGCGAGGAGGACGTGGACCATGCGGACCGCTCTTCACCGGCTTCACTGCCTTGACCCCACCCTAACTGCCGCTGCCGGTGTCAGTTCGATGTGCTTCAACTCCCATTTCCTTACCCCTCTCTCTTCATTCCGGCTCCCCCTCGCCCCACAGGTGGACCAGGGTCTGGGCATCGGTTCGGCCTTCCCCTTTTTCAACCGGCATCAGCTGACGCACACGCGCTTCATGCAGCTGAGTGAGGAGGACGTGGACCATGCGGACCGCCCGCCCATGGTGGGGGTGCTGCACGCGCGCTACGGGGGGTGCATGGGCGACCTGCCGTCGTATGAAGCGTATGCGCTGGGCGGGCCTTATTCCGTCCGCGGGTACAACATGGGCGAGATTGGAGCTGCCAGGCGCTTCCTTGAGGTGAGTGCTTTGAGGGGGGAGAGGGGGTCAGGGGGGAAGGATGGAGCTAGTGTGTGTGTGTGGTTGTGTGTCTGGGAGTGTTGACCGCCCGCCCATGGTGGGGGTGCTGCACGCGCGCTACGGGGGGTGCCTGGGCGACCTCCCATCCTACGAGGCGGTATGCGCTGGGCGGGCCGTATTCGGTCCGCGGGTACAACATGGGCGAGATTGGCGCCGCCAGGCGCTTCCTTGAGGTAAGTGTATTGGGTGGGGAGAGAGGGATGGGTGGAGAAAGTGTGTGCGCCTTGGGGTGCCTGGGCGACCTGCCGTCGTACGAGGCGTATGCACTGGGCGGGCCGTATTCGGTCCGCGGGTACAACATGGGCGAGATTGGAGCCGCCAGGCGCTTCCTTGAGGTGCGTGGCTGGGTTGGCCTATGGTGGTGTTGATGTGCCTCAGGGGCTGTCTGGGTGCTCGAGGTGCTTGGGGTACTTTGGGGTGTCTGCTGGGAATTTTTTGAGAATTCTTGACGTTGCTGGGAGTTTTTGAGAATTCTTGACGTTGCTGGGAATTTTTTAGAATTCTTGACGTTGCTGGGAATTTTTGAGAATTCTTGACGTTGCTGGGAGTTGGTGAGAATTCTCAAAAACTCCCTGGGCTGCCTGGGAGTTCGAGGTGCTTGGGGTACTTGGGGGTGCCTGCTTGTGTGCGTATGTGTTGTGTGTGAAAGTTGGGATCTGGGAGGAGGCCACCCACTCTCATCTTTCTCCCAGCTCGTCCTGCTTGGCCTTCCTTCCATCGTCCTCTCTCAACTCCTCATTAACGTTTCCCTTATCCCTGCCTTCTCTATTTACTTGCCCCCATTATCCCTCTCAGCTTGCGGGTGAGATCAGGGTCCCAGTCAAGACCACCCATGCCTATGCCTTTGCTGAGATGGCCTCTGACCTTGGCAGCTCCGGTATGGTTTCTGGTAACCCTACTGAGTTCTTCCGCCGAGCCGGCTTCGGAGCCTCGGTGGGTGCTGGTGTCAGGCTCGGCACCGTGCGTGCGGAGTACGCTCGGGATTGCAACATGGGCACTGGCTCATGGTTTGTCCGGTTCGGCGAGAGGTTCTAAACTTGAGAATCATGCAATGCAATGCAAGATTTCTTCACACGTTTTCCTCTCTCTTCAGGGTTCGTTCACTGACGAATGCTTAGCGCTTGAAACAGTACCGGCAATGAGGTAGACTTACTAGATAGCCGTATAGTACAGCAGAATAGAAAAGCTTTCTCCACTTGATTGTTTTTGGATCATGGACGCTTGCTTTTTGGGTTTTCTCAAGTGGGCTACGATATGGTAATGTTTCTGAAGTTGACAAATTGAAATCCCAAAATGAAAAGGTTCGTCCCTATCCAGACGGCATGCATTCTTCCTGCATTTTCACACCCCTCAAGCAGCTCATCGAACCTCGTTGGTTCTCTCCCTCGCTTCCTTGTGTTTTGGATTAAATCGTTGAAACATGTGCTGCAATTCCACCTCCACCCACTAGTCAGTGTAGGGACCCCCCCAAACCTCGTGTCTCCCAGAATTCCTGCTCTTTTCATTTCTCACTTCCACCTTGCACACAGTTGTGCCCATTGAGGGTGGCGTGGCGAGACTCGGAGGCAGACCTGCGGGCTCCTGGTAAAGCCTCTAATAATATTCCGCTACGCTCTGTCGGAAAGCCACCCTATCAAGAGATGTTGTATGCACTGATAGCTTACACGAAAGGAGGACAACTCTAGACGACAGAGGGTCACAGAAGGGGCCTGTCACACTAACGAAAGCTAGTTTATTCATGAGTGTTTTCAACAGGTATGGATAGGGATACGTGTGCGTAAGGGTGAAGACCGTTATGGAGCAGTTACACTTACAAATGCTGAAAACAATTTCCAGTGAGAGAGCCAATGTTAAGGGGGGATTTACTGTTCATTCCGAACAGTACTTTCCAGCTCACCCTTATCCTTATCTTCCTTGATTTCCTAGTGCCACGTGGCACTCTACCTTTCTTGCCTTCAATTCCTAGTCCCACGAAGTACTTACCGACATTCCTAGTCCCACGAAGTACTTGCATGTTATATCAACCTTGCTTGTTGTTGCTATTATAAACGAATTCTCATTCAACTCTTAGCCTATTTCGCCAATAGTTCTATTGAGAAAGCTTGCTTTCTTGTCCTTATAATTTGGCATCGTTCTCATTGCAACTGGCTTATTACAACATATGCATCGTTCGTAAACACATGCTAGTACATGCAAATATTACTAGCTATGGAGTCGTCCGTCCAAGCAGCTGTGGTCTTGTAGTTGGTCCGGGGTGGGTGGTGGGGATGTTGATTGAGCCGTTGGAAAACGAGAAACGTGGGTGGAGGGAATGAACTCCAACCCACGGTTTTTGTAGTTGGAGAAGGGCGTTTAGCGCGCTTCGACGCTGCCAAATATTCGGTACAGTCAGCTTCGCTTTCACAATACACAATTTTGAAAAACATCAATGTGTTTAAAAATTATAATATTGAGAAAGCTTGCTTTCTTGTCCTTATAATTTGGCATCGTTCTCATTGCAACTGGGGCCTCTGAGACATGGCCAGTGGTGGCTTGCGGTTGCGTAAGAGTGCCTCTGCGTGCTGTTCTGGGGGCAGCGCGTATGTCGGGTCCTGTAGGTCGCGGGATGCCTTGATAAGATGTCCGACGTATGGTGTGACGTACATCTCTTTGGCGGTGTCACTTCGCCACCTGCCCATCCTTTTGAAGATTCTGTCCGGCACGCCGATGTTGGCGGCTACGGTTGCCGCGCCCTTTCGGAAGGAGTGCGTGCCGAGCTGCTGCTCCCCAAGTCCTACTTTGGCGAATGCTTCTTTACACCAGTTTCGGATCGTTGTGTACGAGGGTGGCTTGGCCTGGCCCTTGTTGGCTGAAGCGTGGCTGAAAACGCGAATCAACGACCCCTCGGAATGAGGGCCATAGCCAGCGAGTTGGAGGAAGCGTTGGGTGCAGCGCACGGGGCAACAAGGGTCCGTCGTTGCGGCGATGGGAATCCAGGTTCCACGACCAGCCTGGTCCGTTTTTGAGTGTGGGATGAGGATCCACATGACTGCATCGTCGAATTGGATGTCTTGCCACTGGATGGCAACGAGGTCGGAGTATCGCAAAAATCCGGAGTACATGAGGATAGGGATCAACCCCTTCTGAAATTCAGCGGGATTGTCCGACTGCAAGTAGTTCGCGGACATGTCCCGAACTTGTTGGATTGATACGGGCTCCTTCAAACGACTAGGGCGAGGGCAGTGTCGTTTCGCGTAGTCCCGCACTTGGGTGGTAAACGGTCCGACAGTCGGGCATTTGCTTCCAGTCATGCGATGGGCGAAGCTGACTGCCGAGCACGTGAGCTGCACTACAGACAAGGTTGCTTTGCGTTGGATTGCATGCACCAAGTATAGCGCGAGGGTCATGTCGGATGCGGGAAGAAATGGAAGATCCACCTTTGTGCAGAAGGCCCGAAACTTGGCCCAGTACGGTTCGTATGTACGGATTGTCGAATTCGCTCGCGATTGTGTGAGCATGTTGATGAGTTGGTTGTGTAGCTTTGGGAGCGGATCTGGACACAAGGCGCGTACATTCTCAATTAGTCAAAAACCACCCGAAGTGCGATGATTGGGCTGTGTGGTAATCCAGTGCCTGAAAAAGCAGCGGAATGTGTTCCAGCTGCCAGGCATTGGCTGCCGTGTGTCAAGGGAATGTGCGCGTGGATGTACGGTGCCCAGTTGCGTGGGGAAGGTTGTAAAAGTGGCCACCAGTTTGCACCCGGCCAGTGTGGGATGATCAATGTGAGCGATGCACGGGTGCGCTGTGCGTGATGGAGGACGGCCGGAACTAAATGGGGCGGGGGGAACGCAAAGCTATTTTCTGATGTCCATGCGAGCGAGAATGCATCGACTGCGGTGGCTTGTGGATGAGGAATTTTAGTGCAGAAGCGTGGCAGCTGGGAGTTGCGGGAGTTTGCAAAGAGGTCGATGGAATGGGGACCCCAACGCCGTTCTAAGATGCGGAACCACGGCGTCTTCAACGAGTAGTCGTCATGATCGACTGCTTTTGAGAGCTCATCGGCGTGTGAGTTTAGCTCCCGTGGGATCCATTCGATGATTAGACGCGTGCCGTGCTCCATGCATAGTCGAATGATGTCTTGGCAGGCCGTGGTAAGGTCGGGGCTGCGCGAGCCACCTTTGCGAAGGATGAAGAAGACGCCCTGATTGTCCACCCGCACAAGAACATGTTTGTGCGTGATCTTGCTGGAGTATGTTTGGAGTGCCCAAAGCACACCTTCGATCTCCCTCCGTGTGCTGGACGTCGCTCGCAGCGGCTCTGGCATTGTTGCGCTAGCTTCTTCGAGGCCGCCAGGAAATGTGGTCAAAGTGGCGCCCCAACTGTGAGCGCTAGCATCCACATGGATGACAGCGTCGTAGCTGTTTCGAACGTGAAACGGTGCACCGTTGAACCTGTCAAACTCTTCGAGCCAGAAGTTTAGCTCCTCAGCCGCGTTTGGGGGGATGATCACGCTGCTTTTCCATGAAGGTGCGTCATTGATCACTTGTAGCATGGCGTGGCTGAAAGCACGAGCTGTTGCGCCCAGCGCGACGCCCATTGACGCGAGCATGCCTGTGATTCTGGCCACTTGGCGGACTGAGACGGGTCGACATGCCTTGCTTGCGCTCAACAGGTTCCAAATGGTTGCATGTAGTGAGGCTCGTCGTTCGGGACCGATGGTAAATCGGCCTGTGGCCGTGTCTAGCTCCACACCCAAGAATCGAAGGTGTTGCGATGGTGACAGCTGTGATTTCTTCGCATTTATCACCAAACCTGCTGCTTTAAGGTCCAGTATTACACGGTGGCAAGTAGCCTGCGCGTGAGCTTTTGACTGGCAAAGGAATAAGATGTCGTCCACGTATGGTACTACTCGGATGCCTTGCTCCCGCCAGCGACGGGCTAGCTGCTTGATGAGTTGCGTGAAGATGAATGGGGCTGTCGCAAGATCGAACGGCAATGAACGAAAGGAGTAAGTGCGCCCATCGAATCCAAAACCGAGAAACTTCCAGCATGAAGGATGGATATCGATGTGATGGTACCCGGATTTGAGATCAATAGAAAACATCCAATCCCCAGCGCGTGCCACGTCTGCCACACGGCTGAGTCCTTCGTACTTGAATTTTGGGACGATGAGGTTCGTGTTGACTTTTCTCAGGTCGAGGATGAGCCTGCATTTTTCTTTCTGCTCGACCACGTTAAGTGGGCTTATGCACGTAAGCTCGCTTGCGGCTGTCTCGACTGCAGCTCCGGTCTCTGTGAGTTCTTGGATGGCAGTACGTGTGAACGACGCATGCGCGTATGCACCAGCGTGGTTACGCTCCCGAAAGGCCTGTGGTGGGCCGTGGCTCCATGGAAGCCAGTAACCGTTGGCGATGATGGATAGGACGAGGCTGCAAGGGCACCATGAGCTCCACCACGCAAAGGTCGAGCGAAGCCGACCGCACATCCGTGTGACGGTTTTGTCCGTGACGGCGAATTCGTACGGGCCATCGTCGCGAGGCACCTCGTATTGTTGTGCTCCTGTATGTACGGCAAGGAAATGAACGCGAACAATCAGATTGCACGCCTTAATTAGTTCATGCGTGTGACATATACATGCATGCGCGAAAAATGAACCGTCAACAGTGAGGACCATACGGACGGTTTGTCGTCATTCCATATAGGGCGTCCGATCGCACCTTGGCAAACTCTTTCTCATACTCTCTCCTTTTCCCTCCCCTCGTTTTTTTTTTTTTTTTTTTTTTCTGGAGGATTGATGCTTGGGACCATGATCATGCTTCCCTCGTGTGCTCTCTCTCTCTCTCTCTCTCTCTCTCTCTCTCTCTCTCTCTCTCTCTCTCTCTCTCTCTCTCTCTCGCTCTTTCTCTCTCCCTCTCTTTTTGGATGTGTTTCCATTGTTGTTTGAGCATTTGCATGCTTCGCTTGTCATGAGCTCGTGTCTTTTCGCGCGTGCCTTTACTTGGGCTAGGCGACATCGCTATGCCCTACTCCCCCCCCCTTGCTCCTTCTCACCCTTT